TTGATAGCACTTTGTAAAAAAGCGCTATTATAGATATTCACTAAGATAGCGCTTTTCTAAAAAGCGCTATTAAAATGTTGTATTACAATAGCACTTTTATAAAAACGCTATTATTAAAAGCACTACGATAGCGCTTTTTAAAAATCGCTATTAAAATATGTAACTACAATAGCGCTTTCTATGAAACCGCTATCGTTTCTATAATTGTGTTTTAAGATAGCGTTTTTTTAAAAAGCGCTATTAAAATATCCCAGTAAATTAAATTAATTAAAATATGAATGAGAAGGGTTTTCCACGAAAGAGAAGGGGGATTCATATCTTCTCCTTCCTCTCTCTGTTGATCCTCAGTCCCTTTAATCCTCACCACCGCCGTCTTCCTTCTCACCATCAACCCTAACCTCTCATCATATCTCCCACCTTCAAACACTCACCATCCTCCTTACAACTCCCTCCGACGCCGACCCACGTTAATTTCCGGCAAAAAATAAATCAAAACACTAACCAAGCTCACCATCCCTCTGTTTCTTCTCAACCATCGCTGTTTTCTTCGACACCACCTTCACTCACCTTTCATCTTCCGCCGGAAAAACCTTCCCATCCAACGAAAATACCGCCGAAAAACCTCCACATCCACCTTGCCTACCTCGTTTTCCGCCGTACCATTCCTCATCAACACCCTCCCTCTCCAATTTTCGTCCGCCGCTCTATCAATCTCCATCTGTAATACTCCCTTTATTCATCTTCATTTTCAGATCGTAATCCCTGCAAATTCCACCATAAACAACCATGGAAATGCATCATGACCACCACTCCCCATTTCAACTCCTTTGCCCCTAACCTTCTCATCTGATCCATACCTCATCTTCTTCAACCAAAACTCTATCCTAAACTCACCTCCCATTCAACAATATACACACCGTAGCAACACATGAAGGAAGCTCCAAGTTTTGAAGTAGATGCAAGCTTAGGGGTTGTTGGTATTCAGAATTCAAAGGCAATCATCACCGGCCAACAAAATGTTCCCCCCGCAACAATGAAAACAACTTGGAGCGACTCTGAAGTTCAGTTTAATCAGCGGTGCCGACAACAAGTCTTTTGAGCTGCATTAACAACAATATATCCTGCAGTGCATCGCAAACGATAGGTTGACGGAAACCTGAAGCTGTCGAACTCAGCAGGGACACTTTCAGCTTCAAGGCGTTAGAATTGCACAATGATGGAGTCAGGTAACAACAGCCTGTAGCGGCAGAAATTCGCAAATAAAGGCGGTACATCATTCGGTTTGTGGATTGCTACAATTCCTCGTCGTAGTTTTGATTATGAAATATTGCAATATTTTGATGTTGTTTACTGCTATTGCTCAAAGTTTATAATATTCTGATGTTGTCCTTGATTGTGCAACATGCTGCTATTATTTTGATGCCAAATTACGATATGGTTTATGGCTTGCTGCTTTTGCTCTTATTGTCTGAAATTCAATTCGGATAGGGTGCGTATTCACTTCAATTACATTGAGATTACCGCGTATGTTTATATGAAATTGTGCTGATACTGCCTGGAGGTTTGTTGTGATTGTGTGATTCGCATTAATAAGGATGGTGTATGTTGTTGCTGTTTCGGTACAACTTCAAGCATCTTTCATTTGCTGTTGAGGATATAGTTTTTTGTAATGATATAAGGTTGTATTTGTTATGAAGTCAGTTGCTAATGATATAAGGTTGTATGTGATATAAGGATGGTGTAATTAAAATATTAAATTAATTACAAGAATTGCTAATGATGTTACTGAAGTCAGTTTATGTTCCTTCACGATGCTCATTTTTGTGTTCTCTGGTAGATAACTAACATATTCTTGTTTTTCAATGTTTGGTTGGTGTAGTTGATTGGAAAAAACCCATTAGTGTATCTAAATAAACTTACCGATGGTTGCGTTGCTCGAGTTGCTGCCAAGCTCGAATTGATGGAGCCATGCTCTAGCGTTAAAGACAGGTAACTGTTGATTCTGAGTTTTTATTCATTCTTTTGTTACAATTGTGTTTCACATGGGGTTTTGTGATCATGTATATTTGACATGCAAGATTGGTTATAGTATGATTGCGGATGCTGAAGAGAAGGGGCTTATCACACCTGGACAGGTTGGTTTACTTTGATAATTAAAGAAAAGTGAAGCTAGTAATAGATTCGTAAAAGTGCCTTCTCTAAAAGCAAAAGCATCGTAATTTTATGTTACTGTCATAGCATTCATTTTAGATTTTAAGGATACATAATTTATTTTTACAATAGATAAGTATAATGTTTTGAATTGGTAGGCAAAAGAAAAGAATTCTGGATATTAATTTTTTGTATCTCATAGCTGTGACTGTTAATACTTGGGTCTCTTATTTTACTCAAGAGTGTCCTCATAGAACCAACAAGTGGTAATACTGGCATTGGATTAGCCTTCATGGCAGCTTTTTTGATGTGGTTCATATTATCTGCAGTGTCGCTTGCATGAGTTGGCAAATAAAAGAAGAATTTCAGTAACAGGAGCCTCTAAGTTACTTGCAAATATTTTATACTCTTACCGTGGAATGGGATTATCTGTCGGTACCATGATTGCTGGATGGGACGAAACGGTAATTCACATGTTAAACCAGTAAATGGCTTTTGCTCAAACATGCCTATTTTGACTTACAATGATTAATGTCTTTTTAGGGTCCCGGCCTATATTATGTTGATAGTGAAGGTGGAAGACTTAAAGGCACTAGATTCTCAGTTGGATTTGGTTCGCCATATGCTTATGGTGTATTGGACAGCGGGTTAGCTAAATTTCCTATTTAATTATCATCTACTCTTCTGTCAAATCTTGTTAACAAACAGCTTCTGTCATACTAGGTACAAATATGATATGTCGGTTGAGGAAGCTTCTGAGCTGGCTCGAAGAGCAATTTATCATGCGACATTTCGTGATGGAGCTAGTGGTGGAGTTGCTAGCGGTATTTTATCTTCCTTATTCACAAGCTATATCTATCTGCTTATGACATTTTGTTGCTGTCTCGCACATAGATAATGAATTGCAAACATACTCCCATGTATTTTTAGCAGCAGAACATTGACAAGATATCTTTAGATTTTTTCATGTACTCCCTTAGATGTTACTTGCTAGCATACTGCTGAGAGTTTATGTGAGTATTTTAGCCGCTGTACCCCCACTTTTAATAAGATAGAGATAAAAAAGTATTGTAGCAAGTTTCAACTCTCATACCATCCCAAAACATGATATCTATTTTTCTGTGTCCACTTGCAGATAGTTCATGGTTTCTAAACTTGTTTGTTAAGATGAAATTTTGTTCTAAACAAATTTTTACATGAAATGCTATAATTATAGTTACCTCTAACTACATGAAAAATGACTACTTCAATAGTTCGATTTACTGGTGTTGTCGTTTCAGTGTCAGGGTCGTGTTCTGAGTATCCGTGTCTCATAGCTACTGCATATATGATATGGATTTAACAACAGTTTATCTTAAGGTGCATATTCTTAAGTGAAGTAGGTTATGTTCATCTGAGAATAAGCTGAAAGTTTTTGCACTGTGTTAAGTTTTTCTAGCGTGCCAATGATTTTTGACAGAGCTTTGTACAAAACGCGCACTTTATCAATTTGAACTACTAGTTGCGATGCTCATAATGCAGTTTTCTGAGTTACATTATACCTGAACTTTGATATCTCTTATTTTTCAGGTGAGGTAATTTACGAAAAATATTCTCTAGAATATGGAACTGATTGTCTGGAAATGCACGTTGGCGCTGTCGAAACCGGTGAACGCGCTATAGTTATCGATGATTTGGTTGCAACAGGTGGAACACGCTACTTATTATGTTGTGTTTTGTTGTCATGCAGTTCAATGTTCTTGGTCAATCACTTGGCTTCTTTGGATCCTGTTTATATGCCTATTCTAAGCTCCAAGGAAAATGAAGAAGACAAGTTTCTTGCGTTGTTCGTTTCGGTTATGCTGTCATTCATTAGAGTTTTTAATGTGATGACTTTTTCTAGCCACAAGATGCTTATGGATTGGAGAAGCTTGCAACAGAAGAGTTAAGCAAGCACTATAACAAAGATTTTGGAATTGAGTGTCGCATTGGGCGGTTCCATAACATATATGGCCCTTTCGGAACATGGAAAGGTATGCTCCTAACTGAATCGTAAATTTTGCATAGTATCTTATATAAATCAACAAATTAACAGTTGTTTTAATGTTCGTCGTGTGTAGGTGGAAGGGAGAAGGCTCCTGCTGCTTTTTGTGGGAAGACACTTACTTCCACAGATAAGTTTGAGATGTGGGGAGATGGATTGCAGACACGGTCCTTCACCTTTATCGACGAGTGTGTTGAAGGCGTGCTAAGGTATGATCGTGCTGATCTTGTGGCTGTTGCAGCTAAATTAATGACTTTTCCTTGGTTTTTCATTTTGAAATTTAAATCACCAATGTCGGTTCATTCGTCAGTAAAACTTAGATTTGTGTTCCTTTGTCCGTTTTTCCTTTTAGATTGACTAAATCAGACTTCCGCGAACCAGTGAATATTGGAAGTGACGAAATGGTTAGCATGAATGAGATGGCTGAGATTGTTCTTAGCTTTGAGAATAAAAGCATACCAATCCAACACATTCCTGGTCCAGAAGGTGTTCGTGGCCGCAACTCAGACAATACTCTTATCAAAGAGAAACTTGGCTGGGCTCCAACAATGAAATTGAAGGTATTAATATTGAAACACCGTTGTGTTTACTCCGTGTTGTATACATTGTTTGCTTGATCGATCTCAATTAACAGGACGGGCTGAGAATTACATACTTCTGGATTAAGGAGCAGCTGGAGAAAGAGAAAGCCGGAGGTGTTGATTTAGCATCCTACGGATCATCCAAAGTGGTTCAGACGCAAGCTCCAGTTCAACTAGGCTCGCTTCGGGCCGCAGATGGCAACGAGTGAAGTAGCGAAAGCGCAGTTGTTGGTTTTTTCAAATAAATGTTTCAAGTGAGGGACTAGGTTTATGTTGCTATTTTGAAGAGATGTTTGGTTTTAGTTAATAAGTTACATTAAGGTTAATTTCGGAAGTTGTAATGCGGTTATTGTGTTTTACTATTGTGTTTTTGAAGTATGAATGATTGAAATTTAGCAGAGTTGTTTTGTTTCATTTTGGACCAAGTATTGAAATCAAATGAGTAGGGACCATTTTATGACTCATGCAGGAGACTTCGTGATAACCAAAGGGCAATGGATTTTGTTGTTTTGTGATACTGATGTGTTGTTGTCTTTGTTTTTTTAACAAAACTCCAAACATGTGAATTGCATGGCGTGAACAAAAGTGGTCCATGTTTTGGAAGTTGATCCATTACATCCTGATTATTAAATTCCTTCTTTCTCTCAACTTCATGCCCACTTTACATGAATTTTTCATCTTATCTGGAAACAGGATTGCTGTCAGTTTCATCAAGCGAAGGACGGCGATGGATGGGTCGAATATAAGGGGTCTTTAGTTTTTGACAGGCCTCAAAAAGTAAGCTAATAATTTTCCCGACTTCATTTCATTATTTGCATTTAGTTTCTGAACATTGATCTTGTCTTCACAGGTGGAAATCCGCGTGCTTTCGTTTGTGCGGAGAGTAAAATATTTGACGTATTGGAATGGGCTATATGTCAGGTCAGTATACTCTACAAAACAATTAATGGTTCTGTTTGTGGCGCTTTATGTCACTGCATTAGGGACTGGAGGTTTGAAATCCAGTGTTCCTGGCTTTGGTTCAGATCAATTTGATGCTACTGATAAACAAGAGAAGAAGTAAATGATTAAGTTTCTCAATTGGTTCTACATCTTTGCAAATTTAGGATCTTTGATGGCTGTGACAGTTCTTGTGTTTATACAAGATCATCAAGGTAGAGATTGGGGTTATGGTATATGTGTCTGTGCTATTGTGCTAGCACTTGTTGTGTTTTTGTGTGGCACCAGAAATAGTGTAATAGTAATTTATCACTAGATTCTTGATCAGTGCTATGCACGGGTCTGATGTACTGTTTTCGAAACTTATTGATAACTGACATTTAATTGTGGCAGATGAGTTTTTTATTGATGTTTATGCATAACTTGACAGGGAGAGTAGTTGAAGCGGGAGATTTTTGTGGCATAACTTAACAGTTTCTTTTTTTTTCTTAGTTGAAGCCATCCAAAAGTCGTACCGCGGTTGCTTTCAAACAGTTTTGACTTTAGACCTTCTACAAATGAGATATTGTTAAACAGTTTTCTTTCCATGAAAAAGTGAATTGAGTAAGAAGAGGTTTAAATGGCATAGGACTTGCCATTGTTATTCCAGCAATTCAGTCTCTAATTGCAGACTCCACTATTGATAGCAACCGCAGTACGGCCTTTGGATGGCTTCAACTAACAATTCACGGATGCATAACTTAACAATTTCTTTTTTTTTTCTTTCCATGAAGAAAAGTATATCCACAGTGATAGTACAGAAATATTTTTCTCATGATTTTGCAGCGATTCTCATATGTATTATACTTGTGTCACTTTTTGCTATCGTTAGTAACTCAATTTGAATGTGCAGCCAATGAAGAGGGACAAAACATCACTCAAGGAGCAGCGTCTTAGGTACTTTACGCCGAGAGAGGTGAGTGGATTTTCTTTATTCTCAGGGATATCATGCACTTTTGTAAATTTTTGTCTATCATGCGTAAACACGAACACATGCACAAGAATGCACGTACCTATAAAATTATATTGTTTTGATTTCAAGCAATATTACTAATTTAAAAAGTATTTGTCATCCTGCAACTAGGTTGCAAACCTATATTCTTTTCCTGAAGATTTCAAGTTTCCAGAACACATCAGTCTCAAACAACGGTATGGTGTTTTGTCGTATTAAACAATACTTTTGAAACTTCATCAACTTATCTAGCTCCACTACTTGGATTGACCTATGGTTTACACAAAACTTTTAGGGATCTGTATGTGCTGCAAGGCGTACTGCTAGTTTCGTGCGAGGAGACGATGTCATCCACAAGTTGTTTACAGAACTGGCTTAACGGTACACGTGAGTATTAAACTTGATGTAATTTCAATCACCAATTTATGACTGTTAATTGTGACACTGAACAGACGTTGTGTTGTACAGGGATAGATCTGGTGGGTACACCAGGTTGCTTCGGACTCGTATTCGAGTTGGCGATGCTGCACCAATGGCCTATATTGAGTAAATCTCTTTATTTTCTGATAGTCACTAGTCTAACTGACCTTGTTAGTTCTGTTATTTTTGTATCCCAGCTTGATTTCACTAAAGAAGTCATTTCTTTTCATTATTGGTGCCAATAGTTACCGATAATTGCGCTATCAGGTTGTGGAAGTTACCGAAGGATGTGCGGGAAGGCTTCAGCTCAGAATTAAACCAATCAAACCTGAAAAGGTATAACTTCAAATCACATTTCCGCTACTTGTTCAGTTGTCTAAATGGTTGCAAATGTGAGCTTTTTTTGTTTGCCACTTATGAATCAAATCTTGTAACAGATGATTGAGCAATCACCTCTCTCTGCAGCATATAGAGCCTTGATTGTTTCGATGTCGTCATAACTACCAAAAAATATCAGAGACCGTTCGTGAATTATTGTTGGAATTTAATCAAGTGCCCTTTGCTTGTTGGTGAAAGACTGTCCTCTGGCTTGTTCCTCCATAAAACAACGTGTGATGAACATCAGTTACCATAATTCAAATATATCTTAGAGACTTGGTTGATAAACCATCTGTGAGAAATTCTCACTTTACTATTTTTTTCATTAGTTTAGAGAATATGTCTAGCTAAGTGATTGTACTTTTTGTTTGGAATTTGGTTTGAAGTACTCTTAGCCAAATTAATAACTACATGACAAAATACTTTAGTTGTGTTTATAAAATATTTTGGTAAGCCAAATTAATGGTATCACATTTGTCATTATTATTTTAATTTCAAGTATTATAAATGATTTGGTGTAAAAAAAAGTGTATTAGAATAGGGTTTTGAAAAGAGCGTGCTATCAAAATTTAAGCAATTTACCGGTATTTCAATAGCGCTTTGTTTGAAAGCGCTATTAAATATGTGACTTATAATAGCGCTTTGTTTGAAAGTGCTATTAAATATGTGTCTTATAATAGCGCTTTATTGAAAAGCGCTATTAAATATGTGTACTGTAATAGCGCTTTCTCTGAAAGTGCTATCAAAATTATAGCAAATTAACGGTGCTATAATAGCGCTTTATTTGAAAGCGCTATCAAATATGTGACTTATAATAGCGCTTTTTCAAAAGCGCTATTAAATACAGGTACTATAATAGCGCTTTTTCAAAAGCGCTATTATAGTACCTGTATTTAATAGCGCTTTTAAAGCGCTATTAAAAATTTTGTTTTACAATAGCGCCTTGATTAATAGCGCTTTAAAGCGCTATTAAAAAGCAAAAAAAGCGCTATTAAATACATTTGATGTTGTTTCCTATGCATCAAATGCAAAACCATATCTGTTGAATGCTTTAACCAGATCAAAAACTGCCATTTCATCTGATCCTCCATCCATACCCTTCTACCCTCGTCTTCTGATTACCATTCCAAAATTCACCATTCCACCTTCACCCCAACCCAAGCCAATCACATTGGAAACTTTTCTAAACCCAAAACATAGGCTGAATGTTGATAATTTATTTACAAGTTTTTTTGAAAGAAATAGAGATGTATTTAGGCTCTGTACAGAGGAAGTGTTCATCAATAATGGTTGCAAATGAATCTGATGCTATTTGGAATAGCTTCATCAACAGATTCAATACTGTAGCATCAAATATGAAGAACGTATGTTCTGATGATGCGAAGCTCAGATTTGATGAAACTGCTAGAAGTTTGTTCTGGGCCGTTAAAAGATCTGCACCATTGCTTATTAAAGATGCTCCTTCATCATCTGAAGTGTGTGATACAGAAGGGAATGTTGAATATGCATCTGAAGACAACTCTCTGGCTATGACTCTTGTAGAACATCCCTCTGGATCTACTGCTCCTGACTCTAAATCCCCTATGGAAATTGACTATGTACATGCTTCAGAATCTGTCCCACCCTCTTCATCTAAGATCAAGAAAGAGTATCCAGATCTTGAAGATAAGATTGTAGTTCTGGAAGCTGGTCAATCAGAGATTAAGTCGTGGATGGCTAAGCAAGATAAGAAGTCTGAAGACATGCTCAGTGGATGTCCAAACAAGATCAGAAGAATGAAACCATGGATAAGTGGATGTCAAAACAAGAACAGTCCTCCTCTGAGATCACTGATCTGTTGAAGATGATTTTGTCAAAACAATCTTAGTTTATTCTTTTTCATCTGATGTTTGCACATGTACTTGAATCTTTTCTGATGATTGTATTATTTGCTCTGAATGAACGAATGACTCAATGTTTTCTCTACATGATTTATCTTGTTTGTTTTTCCTTTATTTGTCTTTTAAAAATTCTTATTTTTTGATTATGACAAAAAGGGGGAGAAACTAGATCTGATTTGTTCAATCAAACTCTACCAGAATGAAACTTCAGACATATCAATTTTATCTAACATAAAATCTGAGTGTTTCAGAATATTTGATAAATCTGATATACTCTTTAAAAGAAACTCTGAGACTCCCAGATCATATTTAACTTATCAGACTCTGACTCTGAAACATGCAAGATCTAATGTTTAGAACAATCAAGCTCTAATTCTGAAAAGAGTACTCAAGACAAAAAGGGAAGTTTCTATTCCTTATTAATATTCAATTCAGGGGGAGATTCATCATCTCAGGGGGAGTTATAATTATTCTCTTTACAATTGAACAAAATTTCTGATGTTTTTGTCATCATCAAAAAGGGGGAGATTGTTAGAACACAGATTGGTTCTTAATAATATCTCTATGTTTTGATGATAACTATTATGAAATTTTGTATTTAAGAATCTACACTCGGACTTTTAAACCCTCACATCTTAACCCGGGGCAGGGTAGTTGTCAGTTAGCTTGACCGAGCATTCAAGTCTTACAGAGGAGTGTTGTCTTTCAAGGACCAAACAGTTTATACCTTTCAAGAGGTCAAACCTCACCAATCAGGAGTGAGACAGTTACAATCCTTTCGGAGCAATCAAGACAACCAGTGTCACACGACTTTGTTCCAAAAGAAAGAAGGAAGAAAGCCCGCTAAGTAAAAAAGAAAGAAAAAGCTGGAAAGCTAATACTTAGGCAAAAATCAGGGCATCCCGCTGGACTTCAAAAGAAAACGAAAAATCGAAGAGAACTCAAAAGGAGTCAGTCCAGGCAAAAATTAGGGAATCAAAAGAATGAAAAAGAAGGGATATCAATAGAAATTTTTTCCCCAGCGAGTCACAAAGTCGTGTACACAGACACCGAAAATGAAGAAGGAGTAGCTATCACTCCGAAAAACCTTGTGGATTCCTTAATTGTGGTTCTTACCATTCAACATACCTCTCGAAGAGGCGAGCGTTTGTGCCAAGTTAACTGAACTTTAGGATCGAAGATCATCGCGTAGAAGAGGTGGGTACAAATCAAAATTTGAGCCAAATATCCTTTGTTTCACGAACCGTGAACCCGACCACGATACAACCCTTAAAAGACCTAATTGAGGTAGGGTCTATTCTGAGAGCGCATTACGATAAGGTTGAGTAACCTGACTCCTTCTTGACTTGCTAGTCACATCCTTGTTGTGTTTTTCACTGACCACGTAAGCACTACGTTTGAACTTAGGTTCATTCGTCACTCATAATCATAGCATGTAAATGAGTGACATCTCAA